AGGTGAAGTACCCAATTTTTTTAAAACCAACTAACTCAGAACATTACAACTAGCGGAATGATTTATCTATAACTAAAAAAATCAATTAAAATTTTGTGAAGAGAGTGTTAAAAGACAGAAGTTGAAGTCTTTTTTTTTCTTTTAACCTAAGAAAACCTAAGAAACAGTTTACCACCATTCAGGATTCCCATATGCTGTCTACATTCATCTGGAGAGCAGGTTTATCAGATCAGGAGGGATATTAGCTGGCTGAGTGTAGCTAGGAGTAAAACACTGGCCAAGCTTAACTGTAGAATGCACAGATGGATACACAGAATGGTGATAACATAATGTCCCCTCCAGTTTATGACAGATCATAAAATTGCAATTAGATAAAATTTGTTATATGTGACAACTTGATATGTCTATATGCTCAAATTGTATTTCAATTCAATTTAAATATTTAAATAAATATTCCCCCCCTACTTGGTATAGAGACTTTGTTTCTACTATTTTCAATGAATCAGAAAGAGTATAATAAACTTTATAATGTACATTAAACACACACACAGGAGAGTAACAGAAACAGATAATTTCATCAGAGACAGCTGCTCTATGTATGGCTCTTCCACTGAGTTTAGGGGAGTTCCATATGTAGGGAGGCTGCAAACTATACCCTGTGACAAGTCATCCCTGAGCCTGAACTGGTGAGACATCCAAGGTAATTACCTGAAAATCCTATGACAGCCCCATGCCAATCAATCAGGGCCCAGCCAATCCACAAGAAAGGGACTAACCAGGTGACCCTAAGGCAGGTTATATAGGCTCCTAATGAAAGCAGCCACTCCAACCCGCTCACTGTTGCTACCTTGTTCAGAGGATTCACAGATGCCTGGAAGTTCTGACAGACTCCCCCAGCCTGCGCCCGTTCATGCTCCTGTTCCTGCCCCAGCCGGCTCCCCTCCTATCCTGACATATCCCAGGAGTGAAATCCTGGTCCCACTGAAGTTAGTGGGAATTGTGTCACTGGTTTTAATGGGGCCAGGATTTCATCCTTGGAATTTAGATTATCTGACCATTATTATTATTATTGGTCCTTATTGGCCATAAATGATCAATACAACAGTGGAGATCAAATTCTGCGCAAAGAAGGCATGTTACCCAATTGCAAGGAGCAACACAATTAATGTATATACAATAAAACAGATGACAGCTGTTATCTATAGTATGGAGATAAGATAGAGATTACAAGCCCCAGTAATATATGCTCCATGTTAATTCAGGTGACCTTTCTGCAGAAGTAACAGCACACAAGTCATGCAGCAATATAAGAGGTAATGTTTTCATCCCAGACTTCTTCAGAGAAGTCTTCCAACTTTGGCAGCAGACATATTCCACAGAGAATAAAGTGAAATAGTTTCCAGACATGGACAGGAAGTTTCAGGAGACACTATCTCCACTCTGCATGTCTGATGCAGTTCTGAGAATGGTTCTCTTAAGTTCCTGTTGAGCTGTGGGGAACCCCACCACAAACATTCCACTAGGGTTAAACATGCAACAAAAATGATAAAAGGTCTAGAAAACATGACCTATGATGGAAGATTGAAAAAATTGGGTTTGTTTAGTCTGGAAAAGAGAAGACAGAGGGGACATAACTGTTTTCAAGTACATAAAAGGTTGTTATAAGGAGGAGGAGGAGGAGGAGGAAGAATTGTTCTTCCCAGCCTCCGAGGATAGGACAAGAAGCAATGGGCTTACATTGACTCAGGAATGGCCTAGATAATACTTAGTCCTGCCATGAGTGCAGGGGACTGGACTAGATGGCCTCTTGAGGTCCCTTCCAGCCCTGTGATTCTATGTTGAAAAAGCTTCTGTGAAAACTTTTTGGCTGAGATTTTCAAAGCCACTTTCAGCTGTACAGTTCCCATTACAATTAACGAAAATAAGGCATCCAAATCACCTGAATTTTAAAATCTCAGCTTTTGCGTTTCTGTTGCTGACAACACTTCTGGTCTATTAAAGACTGAGGGATGCTCTGTAGCATTGCTATTATATTTGGTTTTGGTTGTGTTTGGTTACTTGAGGTTGTATGTGAATTGAGGTATGTATGTGGAAGGGATCGAAGTGTGGTATAGTTTTGAGATGGATTTTCCTTTCAGGATTTATTTGTTGCAGAGAAATGAAAGGGAAATATATGAATGTTTTGTGGAAATGCCGTGAGATAGGAATCACATCTTCATGTATGTCTGTACTGTGTCTAGCAAAATGGGGCCCTGGTCCTAATCAGGGCCTCTAGGCACTGCTGTAATAAATAATAAATCTCTGTACAACCAGATATTACAATTGAGAAGATTCTTCTGTGGGTTGTTTATAATAAAAGAGTTTTAAAATATCTCTTTTGTGAGTGCTGAAGTAGCAGAATTGAGTAACTTAATTAAGCTCCGTCCACCAAATAGGATATGAAGTATCTGAATGCTAGTTTCTTTTAGCTGGGTAAGTGGCAATATTTTAATACTGAGACAAATGGAAAACATATATATCTTAATGTAAGTGGCAACATTAGCACGAGTGGATTAGGACTCAATTTGTCCCTCTTGAATATTGTGGAACTTCAGACTACAAAGTTCTATAAACTGTATTTTAGTTGCTTGATAGAACAAGCAGCTAAATTATTTTGATTAAATTCACCTGTTCATTGAAAAGTTATATTCTTAATATATAATCTCATCACAATGCTGGCACTAAGTCAATTATATAAGGTAGAAGGCCACTCATATTCATCATGTTTTATGTATAATTACTTGATTTATAAATTATTTAGTCTATATGCTTTCTAATCCAATGTCAGTTTTAAAGTACTTTTCTAGTTAAAAAAAACAACAAAAACCCAGTGTGTAGAAAATCTTTGCACGGTATATGAAACCTACTACTTTTGCCTTTCTTGTCTGTAAAATCCTTACAAAATTCCACTAGTTGGTGAAGTACTACCTTCTTTTTCTAAAACAAAGTTAGCTAAGGCAAAGTTAGCTATCGGTAATCAAACCGTGGTCTTCTAAATATCTCCCATTTATTTTCCTCATCTAATTATTAATATCTTCTCCAAGCTGATGTCAGAATAACTAGAGCATAAGTTCCGTTCATGCCCCTGTGAAAATGTTTTGGACACCTTTCTCTCTTCACTGTAAGAATATCGGTAAAATGTCTACTGATGTTTAATTAACAACTTTGTACTCTGCAATATTTTGTCTAGTTCTTGGATTTTACATAAAGCGTGTAACTTTAAGTCAGAATTATTGTGGGGGGGGGAAGAAATCATATTTAAAGCAAACTGTAAAGAATCTGACTTTTCACTTGGTGCAGTTTTGTGAGTTTCACTGTGATGGGTGATCACAGATTATGAGAAAGTTATGAAATTCTGCTTGTTTTCATTTTAGAGCAGGCTGCAAAGCTTCATAAAATAGACGACAAAATTAATTTCATACCTACCCAATGTTTATTTTGAAACACCTAAACCATATTCTCTTTAAATACTAGTAAGAGACTCCACATTAAAAAAATAAATCACGCATTCATATTGCAAAATTCAACACTTATAACATAGCAGTTGAATTGTGGATTCAAAGCCTGTGGAAGTGGGATGTGGAACAAGCTACTGGAGGAAGTCAGAGAGAACCCTAGAAGAATCACCTATTTGTTAAAGCTTTCCCAGCATAACCAAGTCAAGAGGAAAAAACAAACAAATAAAGCTTCTTAGTATCTGGGAAAGGTAAAAGGCAAAATCCCCTATGAAGACATTCACTAGGAACAACTACCATACACAGATGTAAAACAGCTACTACAGTAATGGGTGATATAGAAACATCCTATATAGATTAGATAGGATGTGGATGTCAGATAAACTGCAGATGTTTGGAGGGAACATGAGCATTGTTTATCTGATCGGTTTCTGTTCTCTTTTAATTTACCTTGTTACTTGGCTATTAGAATACTTCATTTAGCCTTGCACTTCTGCTATGAATTGGTATTTACTGTGGCTTTAACAATCTAAGATTAAAAAATAGGGGAAGGCAAAAATCATTTTATGCTGCCCTTGACAGGAAGATAATTTAAAAAGTTTCATTTGCTGTTCTGTAACTGGTGAACTCGTTTTATCCATGTGAAAAACTATTTAAGTTCCATATTTAATAGCTTCTTCTCCTTCTACCATCCTGTATTTCCTTCACTTCTTGCTCCGCTGCTCACTCACTTTTTGCCCACATACACTTTTGCTCACTCTCAACTTTGTTTCTATCCTTCATTCCTATAGTCTTTTGTTCACTGTACTCCTGTTAGGTAACTCATTTAGAGAGACAAGGTGGGTGAGGTAATATCTTTTATTGGACCAACTTCTGTTTTTGAGAGAGGTCTGAAGAAAAGCTCTATATAGCTCAAAAGCTTGTCTCTCTCACCAACAGAAGTTGGTCCAATAGAAGATATTACTTCACCCACCTTGTCTCTCTAATATCCTGGAACAGACACAGCTACACCACCACTACAGGAAACTCTTTTCTCTTTTTAAAAAGAGAAGTACTGAAAAACCAGCTAACAGGGTTAATATAGAGCAGGACTGGCACAGACAAGTGTTTAGAAATTGATTGGGTGGGAAGTCTCTCTTCACTTCCCAACCCCTGAGAAACAGAGATAAGGGGGGCAACTCATCAGAGGAAGAATGATTCTCAGAGGGAGGGAGGATAGTATCCTGCATGACACAGGCTTAGAGTTATCCATCACCACAGAAATGATAAAGCTTCAAGAAGTATTTGATTATTTAAAAAAAAAACCCTCCAAACATAAATGTATTATATAATGTACCTATCTATACACCATCTGGTAGAACACTAGATTGTCCTTTAAGGGAACAAAGACATTATTTCTAAAAAGATGTAAAAAAATATAGAGCAATTCATCTGTAAACTATTATTGTCTTCAACAATTTCATTTTTAATAGCTTCATTTTTGCACTCTCCATGTGTCAGACTTACTTGGCAGCAGCATCTTTTCTCAGCTGTTCATGCTTCATTAGAAGATTTTTTCTGTCTTGGAAAGCCTTTCGAACCTTATATCCTTTGTAGACAGCTTGGATTTTGAAGGCAGCAATGTCCTGTATGGCAGCTATAGACAGAGCACCATGTTCTAACATAAACTGAATCACCTCATGGTGTTCTCCAAGCAAAGCATAATCAAGTGGCGTGTATCTAAAGACAGAAAACATACAAGTGTTACGATAGATTAGATTGCCAGTCACAATGTATATTTTTGGTTTAAAAAATGAGATGGAAGATCCACTAATGAGGAAACCTCCGCTAAGGAAAGTATTTAACACCTTTTTCAGAGAACCACGTTTCCAAATTCTGAGGATCTGACAGGTTCCGTACCTTAACATGTTTCTTTAAAAAGAAGATTTGAGCAAGCAATTAAGACTTAGTTGTTCCTTGAGGCTCATTTACAAATATGTCCTCTGGGAGATGCACGGTGTTCCTAAATTAAATGTGTAAGTGAAAAATGCCCATGATGTTAGATTAGGTGGCATTCTGGGTTATTTGCACAAGTATTTCTCTTTTGGAGACTTGATTTCAAATTCTGGTTTAGATCATAAGCAAAAATGAGCTTGGTAGTCCCATTTTACCCTCTAGCTAGTGAATCTTTATCCACATAAGAATACCACATAAATACTGTAATTACACAATTAACAAGGTTTACAGCTTTGACAAAGAGAGGCCAAAACAGAAATAGCAGTGATTTTGCAGGACAGGTTTAAGTGCCTTGGCAGAGATGTGTTACAGAAAGATTGACAATATTATGACCAACTATAGCACGTGGTATTACTTCCACACTTTCAGGGGCATTAAGGGTAAATTTTTTACAAAAAGACTTAGGAGACTAAGTCCAATTTTCAAAAGCCACTTACCGGCCCAAGTGGCACTGGTTTTCAACGAGACCTAGGCAAAGTCAGTTAGGGTATGTCTACACTATACCACCACCCACAGTTGACCCAGGTCAGCTGACTCAGATCGTAGGGCTCAGGCTGTGGGGCTATACAACTGCAGTGTAGATGTTTGGGCTCAGGCTGGAGTCCAGGCTCTTGACCCTTCCCCCTCACAGCCCGGCAGACTGAGCCCTGAGAGCCTGAGTCAGCTGACCCTGGCCAGCTGCAGGTGTTTTATTGCAGCGTAGACACACCCTTAGGCACTTTTGAAAATTTTAGCCCAAATTCACACAAGCAGTAAAGGGCAGCAAAATTTACACAGAACCCCCCACTTGTATTGAAGTGCCCATGCTAGGAAAATTTATTAACTGAATATTAGTGGCAACAGTATAAAAATGATGCTTATACAATATATCAAGTTAAACAGTTAGTATCAATGTATGAGGTAGTAAAAATTAAGGCTCTTTTTGATGGTAACCAGCAAGGATGCAATGCAGATAAAGACAGGAAGAACAGACAGACAGCACAATTGGACTTGCCATATGGTGATAGTTTGATGGGAAGATTAGAGTGTCTGAACTGAAATGTCAATAGGAATAAAAGGCAATGACAGAGCATGGAGATTTGTAGGTCAAGGTGTGTTGCTGATAAAACATTAAATGAGACAGAAAGATTTGAAATAATTCTTGGACAGATACTACTGAAAGGAGCTCACTTGAGAAAAATCAATTTTAAAAGTTTACCTGCTGTTTTGAAAATTTTTAATTAACAGATACAAAAAGATATTAAAGCATATTTTTAGGTTCCTAAAGCATGAGTGTCAACAGAGGTTACTTACCTGTAACTGGAGATTCTTTGAGATATGTGGTCCCTATCTGTATTCCACTAGCCCCACTCCTTCCCCTTTGCTTCGGATCCTTCTGACTGGCAGTAAGAGAGGAACTGGAGAGGTGTCAATTCACAATGCCCCTTATGTCCTCAGTTCCGAGTCAGAGGAGGGTAACTGCACAAGGGACACTGCATGCCAGAAATCTCCGATCTCAGGAGCATGGTGTGCACTTGTTCCCTTGTGTGGAATACACATGGGGACCAGCTCTTGAAGAAGGAGCCACTATTACATTTATAAAAAAATCACTGAGCTCATTTTGACTCTCTTGTCTCCCATTTACCTTTCTCAAAAGCCTTCTTTGCTCCTGAAATGTCCCATCTCTTGGCAGAAAATAACGTTCTGTGACAATTTGATGTTATTTTAAAAACGCATTCTTAAAGAGTTTTTTAGGATCATCATATTTCAAAAACAGTTTGGTCTAGAAACACCAATTTGTTTTATTAATTTGTCCTCAGTGAGATATTTAGGACTGAGTTTTAGAAGACTGGTAGTTAGATTAAGACTTGTATTAAAGTTGCAAATATTCATATTTTGGAGCTATGAATATTAACACTTTAAGCCCAAGTGGTATGGTTTCAAAATTTGTGCAAAGGTAGAAAGCTGCTAAACCTCCCTTGAGAGTGCTATTAGAAAAGAGCAAATGGATGCCTCCCCACCATAGGGGCACCATGCGTTAACATGTACAAGTGTGTATATTTGAATGTCAATCTATCAAAATCAAACTAGAACTCTGCACCTTTTAAGGTTCACTCATTCCCAATTATGACTGAGTTTAGACATATGACACACTATTTGACAAATGCAAATGTAGCATCACTATCGGTGCAATATTAAGGTTGAATATTTAAATACACAAAATTCTGGAAATTCAAAAGTTAAGGTTCCTATAACAAGAATGGCACTCATATTTAGAAGACTACTGCTTATGCTCCTAAATGTATGGCTTACTATGTACAGTATGTGCAATGTGGCTGAGTTTCTGGAATGTTGTTGCAGCCTTAATTCTTCAGCTTCCTGAGATTAGTGCATTTATGTTCTTAACTGTAATTCTGTATTAATATAGTATTTTTTAATTTATTTTCCTGGTCTTTTAAAACAGTAAAAGAAACAATCAAAGAAAAGGAAATAGAGACGTGCAGGTGCATTTAGATTAGATAATGCAATTATAAGCAAGAGCCTATCTGAATGTGGGATCTAAGGATCACGCATACAAACACAGTGATGCCAGGAGGGGAACAGAGGGCTTCCCTAGATGCTAATGAAGTGGTTATAGGAATACCAGGGTAAAAATCTTTAACCTGAAGTTCTTCAAGCACCATTAGCAGCATTCTTTAAGACAGGTAGAAGGCTGTTCATCCTCCAGTTCTCTAATAGAATATCTGTTTTTAATAGTATAAATTAAAATTAATTAAAATACAGCTGTTTATTTTCATTATTTATTGAAAGCCACTATAGACAGCATTAGAGGAACACAACTGGGAACTGCTTAATGCTTTCTACTGTGGTTTTCACTAGAAAACTGACAATAAATTGCTCTGCAGGACAGGAAGAGAGGTCTGGATGGTCAGAGTAGGCAACAAAAACAAATGATAGGGGGTAAGCAAGGCAATTAAAAAAAAACCAAGGGAGACGGGATGGAAGACAAAAACCTGCAGCACTAATGTACATGGGATTTTAAATCATTCTAGTGATTTTTGAAATGTTGATGTACTCGTATTTATTTAGCATGTCCATCGATAATTTTGTTTATGATTGTGATGAAGCTGTCTTCTTGAAAAGAGGTACCAAAATATGTAGTAGTGCTGATTACCTGCAGTCATGTGATCAATTTAAACTATCACAACCCAAGATTTTTAAATCAAAAACTATTATTTATATGTCAGTCAGAGACAAAGAAAACAGATGCAAATTTATAGTCACCCTATGATTATAGAGGGATTTATTTTTAGTTGGATCATCAGAATACAGATCACCACCAGGTAATCTGCAATAACTATTTTTAAAATACAATTTTACTTTTCTCTTTTCACCAGATCATGCCCTCACTGAACTGAACAGCAAAACTCCAGTTCACTTCAACAGGAGCAGGATTGGGCCCTTTATAGACATCTGTTAGTAGCTTTGTGAAAACGAACAGCTCTGTCATCTTTTAGTGACACAGTATAAGAAAAAAGAAAGCAGAATTTAATTACAGAAAGTGTATTTTGGAGTTTTTGAAATAAGGTTGTACCAAACAGAAGAATATAGGGTTGAGGTGGAATAGAAAGACTCATTTCCTAACTCTAATAAGGTGAATAGGGCAAATAAAATTTAAGTAAATTTACTTTAATTCACTGTATTTCTGTTCATTTCACTGTTATTGTGCGAAGCACCAATCCTGAAAGAATTACACACATGTCTAAGTTTACACACTAAGAGTAGCCTCATTGCCTTCAATGAGATTACTCACAGAGGGTAAAATACATAGAAGTCTTCTGCAGGATCAAGGCTGAAAAGTACAATAGAAATGTAAGAGAAAGGTTTGAACAGTCTTATTTGAAAAATAGTCTCTTCAATTGCACAATTTAACTACTCTCCAGTCCTGAGATTACACCAGTGTTTTTAGACATGTTCAAGCTCATGTTTCTCAGACATATTCTCAATATTTCAATATGTGACAGACAAACCAGAGTAGGTTTGCTAAATTAAAAAATAATATGTTTAATAAACTGTACCTCTCTTCATTGTTCTCCATGTGATTAGGGAAAGCATCAAAACCCAGCAGCAACTTTATAGCATCAAGGTAGCCATTGTTACACAGCCAATGTAAAGCAGTCCTTCCCTATAAACCGAACATATATGAAGTAAGAGGTTTATTAGCTGCTAACTTTGTATTGCCAAAAGAAAAATAGCATATGGTGTCATTCAGGGCTCAAATGGACATTATGACCAAACAAGTGGTTCCAAAATACATCTTGTCCATTAAAAAAAAAAGAAATAGAGTTTAAAAGCAAAAATCACTGAAAAGATTTTTTAAAATAGATCAGGGCCAAATTTGCAGCTGTGCAGAATTTATACTCTGTGAAGTTAGCAGAAGAAAATCTGTCTCTAAGTCTCCTTTCTGTTCCTGAAATCGTGGGCCAACTGGGGCCAAAACAGCCCTCTGTAATTTAGACTGGCCTAAGGACCAATATAAATGATGCCAGTGGATGTAGTCTTGTAGGGCCATGGATCAGATGGAGCACTGTGCACTCTGCCGCACTTTGGCAGACACCCCAACATTCCACCTGCATAGAATGAATTGGGAGCAGGTGGCACAGAGCTTTCCATGCCAGTTCTAAATCTCACAAGGGTTATCCCATGTCAGGAGAATCCTCAGCTGACCTTTTAGGGCAACTTTCTGGCTGCTTCGAACTACTGATGTAGCAGAAATCAATTGAAGCCATGGCCAAGGATCTGGCCTTCAGGTAATACTTTGACCACATCTTTGGCTGTCAGTGCAGCTGAACATTGCAGCTCCAAATTTCAGACCATTGTAAGTAGAATTTCCAGATATGAAAGCTCTGTAGCAAGTTTCATTAAACTGACTGTGGCACAGAAAAGTATGCCTCATGCAGTGAGGTAAAAGGTTAACATATTGGGGCAAGTTAGCTACTGGTGTAAACTGGTGCAGTTCTATTGACTCCAGTGGAGTTGTGCCAATTTACAGCAACAGAGAATTTATCCTAGAATACAAAATCTATTTTGGCACCAAGTTTCACTTAGTGCCTAAGGGAGGGAGCAAAGGAATATACAAGCAAACTGCAATGTTCTTCTTCGCCCTTAAGGGCTAGACACAAACAAATAATTGCTGCAGTTCTTTCGGCAAGTTTGTTGCACCTCACTTGCTCTATCCTCACTAACACATGCTGGGGAGACATGGTGTGGATTATAAAATTACAGTCCCTTGTTAAGTATTTAAATAAGAAAACAACAAATAAAGAATAAGGAGTTTTTAAAAGGATAATTTTAAGATGTTAGCTTTATATGGAAAAGCCAAAGGACAATATGGAAATGTGCATCTTCAGTTTATGGTGTATATTAAAATAATAATCTTTGATCAAGCCCTAAAAAAGTGAAACATGAAGGGAAAATAGTCTTAGGGCTGCTTTTCCTTCCCCTACAATAGCAGTGAACCCTGATTCATCGTACCACTGGTGTGAAAAGCAAGGATTAATGCCACCGTGCTGCAGAAAGAGAAGGATATGCAGGAAGGAGAATATACTTTCAACTTATGCTTGGTCTGACATTAACTTAAATGACACAGTGAAGAACAACATACCTCTTTATCTTGAATATTTGGATCTGCGTTGTTTTCCAGTAACACGACCATGCAGTTTATATAGCCTCCATATGCAGCACACTGCAAGGGAGTTCTACCTGCATAATCCTGCACATTTGGGTTGATTTTATTTTCTATCAAAATTTGACATACATCAGCATTTCCACCCAGAGCTGCCCAGTGAAGGGGAGAATGGCCATCTTGATCAACCAAATCTACTCTTGCTCCCCCTGTAATAGCAAAACAATATTTGAACATCAGCAATAAAAACACCAAAATATTTTTGCACATCAGAGAAAGGGGAGATTAAGCCCATGTCATCTTGGAACACTTCTGATAAACAAAAGACCATGGGGTAACATTTTCAAAATCGCCTAAGTGACTTAAAAGCCCAAGTCCAATTTTCAAAAGTGACTTGGGCACTTAGGAGTTTCAATGGGAGCTAGGCATCCAACTTGCTCAGGTACTTTTGAAAATCACATTAGGTGCCCATCTATAACTTTAGGTGCCCAAATACCTTTGAAAATCTTGCCCATAGGCGCTTCAGTCCTTTTGACTTTAAATGAGATATAGGCTTCTAAGTGCCTAAGTCATGTTTGAAAATGGAACTTAGATGCTTTTCAAAATTTTACCGCTAGCCTCACCATATTATTATGGGCTTTTGCAGTTATTTCCTTTACTCAAGCATGTAAAATTATTTTACCCAAATCATATTCATTTATTTAGTTTAGTTTCCCCTAGGTGCTCTTACAACAGTTAAAAATACAGTACAAAAACCACAAAAAAGCCACAAAATATAACAATCATTGGCTCTAACCAAAACAATAACTGTCCGTATAATAATACAACTATAATGATTCATACCAACTCATTGCTTCCACAAAAGCCAAAGAGAAAATATGAGTGTAGACCAAATGTGATGCTTCTATAAATGCTGGCAGCTAAGATGATACAACTATATCTGTGTAATATAACTATTTTCTTTTATGGTTTCTATTATTTCTAAAATTGTCTACAAAATAAAACTTTGTTTATAATAAAAAGTTACAGGAAAAACACATTCAAGTGATTATATCAAAAAAGTTGAAGAAAAGCTGTATTTGAAACAGGTAAGCCATTTACATGTTCAAAGATGGCTATTCAACCATTCTCACCAATGGTAAACAAAATTTAAATTGATCTTATTTATAGGAAAGAGAAAAAAATACTATGTGAGGTTTTAGGAGATTAAAGGGTACTGGAAGAGACTTGTGGGGACAGTGGATAGAGACAATGAAATGTACTATACATAAATCTTTCCCTACTGGACTAATTTTGGGCTCTTCATTTTGTCCAGCAATGTCATTTATTTTACAACCTACCTACAACAGCATTTTAACTCTGTGAATGGATTTGTAAATTTGTGACAGCTGACCTTTAATGAGTGTCTGTATCACTTCTTTGTGTCCCATTTCACAGGCTCGGAAAAGTGGAGTGTGCTTCATTACATCCGTTGCATCTACCTGTGCATTATGTTCTAAGAGCAATTTCACAGTGCTGACATGGCCAGAAAGGGCAGCAGCATGTAACGCTGAAAGAAGAGTTAGAAATTAGACAATGACAATTAGAACTGTCAAAAATAATGATTCATTTCAATAATTTTGGTAGTAGTGTGACCAGATGTCCTGATTTTATAGGGACAGTCCCGATTTTTGGGTCTTTTTCTTATATAGGCTCCTATTACCTCCCCCGCCCCCGATTTTTCTCACTTGCTGTCTGGTCACCGTATTTGGTAGAGAGAACTGCCATTCTATCATAAAACTGTGAACAGCTCAAAATATAACAAGTGACAGGCAATCACTACTTCTCCCTCGCCACGCAAACAACACAACAAAATACATGATATAAAAAGGTGGCAGCTTTGTTACACATTCTTTACTAATGCAAACGCAAATTCAAACCTCACCAGAAGTTCGACTGATTTATACTGAATTGATAGGACAGTAGCCTCTTCCTGCTGTACACTATGATGCTACTGCCTCCTTTTTTTACTACTCCTATTACTGAGTCACCCCACTACAGATAACACTGCCTATTGCTACTGCAACAAAAAGAAACAAAACCCTAATTTATTTCTCTGAGATTTTCCTGCTAAATACTAGATTTTCTTTCAGACATCAAATAAAATGGTCTCATGTCACACTAACATGAAAGAAATGTTTTTCTGCAAAAGATCTTGGAGATGTGCTGCCACTGGATCTCTGTTCTGAGGAAAACAGAGTGGAAAGTGCAGAAACCAGCTGCAACTGGCTCCCATAACAGTAAATACTGCATTAGAAGTATAGTGAAAATTCTTATGGTATAGAAAGGCGGAGGCAGCTGAAAGCAGCTGCTTCCCTCCCATTCCAGTATTTTCTTTTTTCTGACCATTGCATGTAGTTTTGCAAATTTTATGGGGAAACTGAAAACTGGGTGGGTAGTGGGAGTCAAGCAGGGTGATAGTAAGTGACAAAGGATGGTTTCTTTATATGGCAGTAAGGGAATATCTGGATTTCCTAATGTTTGTTAACACTGTAGATATTTGTAAAGTAAATGTAGTGTTGTTTTTTGGGACTCCGTTGAAACTCATTTTCATACTTAACTCTTTTGCTAGATCATGCCATTTTGGCACAATTCCATGTTAGGAGAGAGCAAGAGCAGTGCAAGCAAGATGAATTTTGCCTCAGTGGAAGGTGGAGCAACCAAATTGCTTCCTTAAAGAGATGCAGCATACTCCTCACCAGCCAATCATGTGACAGACCTGATTCATGGCTCTCTGCTCCTTCCCGTCCGGGGGGGGGGGTAATTTGGGAGTAGTTCCTGTGCTCCTTTGATTGCAGGGACTGCAGTTTTGCCTGCCCTTACATAGGTCATGCTAGGGTGCGAATCTCCTTTATATCCTGCCCCCATTTCACACACAGGTGTAAGCTAGAGTCTAACCCTTTCTTAACAAAGATTTTCATTTAGGACAATGCATAGCTAATAAAAGGCCATACATTCCCTTCTTCTAGGGGGTACAGCAGGCAGCAAAAGGGACCAGTGAAGGGCTTGGGAATCAGGGGGGAGATTCAGTCTCGATGGGATGTTCCCACTTGCCCCAGAACCAAGGAAATCCTTCTGCATAAAAGTCACATGGGATAGGTTCTGCAGACTCCTCTCCTTTCACATTTCCACTCTGTTTTCTTACCCCTGAATCTATGCACCCTCCACCTCACTCTGGCTCAGCCCAGAGATCACAGCACAAATCCTTCAGCCGGGCCTGAGACGGCAGGAGGATAGTAAGATGTTGCTTGGTTTCAAATGATGTTACTATCATCCATAACCTCATCCCACTGGAGCTATCAACTGGACTTGAATTTGTCAAAATACAAGTTCAGCTAACCCAGATGCTTCTTCATGGAAAATCAAGCCACAAAGAGTGAAGAGATTTCACCAGATTTGTTGAAATGGAGGGCAAATGTTCTGGAGATTTGCTTGAAATATTGATTTTACGTGCTTTGGAGTGGTAAATATATATTAAAACCCCCCTAACTGTAAGAACAGTAGGAGAATGGAACAAACGGCCTAGGGAAGTCATGGAAGCTCCTTCACTGGAGGTTTTCAAAAAGAGGCTGGATCACCATCTGTCTTGGATGGTTTAAACGCTACAAATCCTGCATCTTGGCAGAAGGTTAGACTAGATGACCCTTGCGGTCCCTTCTAACCTTATGGTTCTATGATTCTAAACAATCCAAACAGTAAGTTGAATCATGGAGAAAATCAGTCTCAAAAGTATACTTTTAGTACATCTTTTTCCTACAAATTACTTTTCTGATGACACAAATTCTGAGTAATTTAGAATGAATATATAAATATGCACATTTATAAGTGCCAGTTACAGTAGATTAAACCAAATGCTACCTTTACAAATGATCTTTCGATCATTACGTGAGCTGTACTTATTTAAAATTTCATTTGTTCAGAGAGTAAAACTAGGTGCTTTAAAAAATATCCAGGTGTCTCTAATTTTCTCAGGTTTAATATACATAGTGCCAGATAATGATCATTCCTGAGCTTGTGTGTCAGGGGTAGGAGGTGGAGGAAACGGAGTCCTTATCCACCCTTTGTGCTCCTGTGCAAGGAGTAGCTAGAATCCTATACTTCACATTCCTTGAATGCTAGTGAAGGCTGAGTGCCTATGTGAACGAATGCTGATACAGTGCCCCTGTACACCCACTTACGCAGCTGTAGTTCTAAAAGCTGCAATCTACTTCACAGAGTATATACACGGTCAGTAAAACAAACCCTAAAGTGTCTAGCCTTAATAACTGAAATCATATGTGCATAGTAACAGTGATGCAAATTTTTCCACAGAACATTTACACTATACAGTCAATTTTTAAATGCTTAATTGTTGGGGCTATCATGGGGGAAAATCATTAATTATGTACAGAAGCTTCAGTTTAGTGAAAGGAAGCCAAAATCACTGAAAGCTCCACTAGCAATTTGGGTGGGTGGCTGGATATACATGGAAATTTGACAAGAATGAAGTAGGTCCCTGCTGCTTAGCAGATTTGGACGGGTGTTGATTACATGTTCTGACCCCACAATAAACTCTAGACTTTGTGTTCTGTATTGCACTCCTTATGAAACTGAAGGCAATAAGCTACTCAATCAGATAACAGATGGAGTGTATGCAATAATACAATAGAAAAAGAGCTGCTGTGTCAGCTTGGCCTGGTTCTTCCCCTCCATCACTCATGCTGACGCAGGCATCTTGTTTCCCACTCTGTGCTCAATATTTTCTTGTAAGCAAAATTTTCTCTGATGGAGTCACGGTGACTGAAGAGATTCTTCAGCCAGCTGGTCACAATAGAACCTTTGTTCCACCGACAGTCAGATCCCTCATGATTGTACACAGTCAGTGACGGCAGAGCTATAAAGCTGCCCCTGCAATGCTCTTGCAGCGCTGATCCCTGAGAACAGTGAAATTCCTTTTCCTTGGTGTCATTTTCCTGCACAATAAGAAACATCTTGATGTTCTATCAAAGCTTTGTCCTGAATGGAGATTTTGTTCTTTATAAGTAAATGCAAAAAAACTACATTAATGCGATGGTACAGCTGAGCTTTACCCAACACAAGCACAAAAGTCTGGAAATTCAAACTTGTGGTCCCCACAGCAACTGTATCCCAGTCCCTTTAGGCTTGTGCACTATTTTCAATCTTAGTTTCCCCAAAACCATGGGAAACATACAAAGCCTTCTAAAAAGATAAGTCTGGGATAAGGGAGTGATTTCGGGGTGGTGTATTTGAGTGATCTTTTGTTAACTGGAGGCCAGATGAACTGAATATGGAAATTCTTATGCTAAAACATATAAATTCAATATGGCCAAGTTCAGATTGCTTGGAGACAAGGAGGCAACGGTGGCATAATTTTGCACTTCTTGACTTTTAACGTGTGCAACTCAATTGTAGCTTTGCATTAATGGGTTGTTTTGGGGAGCTTTCTTTTTTTGCATTCATTTTTTTGGATTAAAAATTCCTCACCAAAACATGAAGGTTAGAAAATGGTCACACATTACTGCAATGTGCTATGTGAGACAGAAAGGACCGCGAGACGCTTTGTTTACCTAAGCGTCTGCAGGTACAGCTGCTCGCAGTTCCCAGTGGCCGCGGTTCACTGTTCCCAGCCAATGGGAGCTGCGGGAAGCGGCGCAGGCCAGGCCAATGCTTCCCGCAGCTCCCATTAATTAACTTGAGTTAACTTGAGCTAATTCTGCAGTGACCTACCCTTAAATTAACTATTCTCGAGTTAGCTTGACTGAGAATGGCCATGTTATGAAATAACACTTGAGCTACACAGAGTGGTTGGATTACTGCACGGTGACTATATTAATAGCACAGAGAAATTGTGCTAGCAGCTGATGAGCGATTTCAAGCTTTAGCTTACATCCACTGATGGACCCTCCAACTCAAGTTAAGGGTCTCTGTGTATGGATAGGACTCAAGATAGGGGAAATATTCAAGTTATAACTTGAATTAACTCTGCAGTGAAGACAAGCCCTGAAAGGTTTTTAAAAAGAGGTTTTCTGTATAGAAATTCAGGAGTTCTCAATTCTGACTCTACGTATTGACTGGTGAAGTATTAAGGAAATGGAATGTGATCAACCAAGAAGGAAATAAATATTTTTACTCAAACACTCTGTTAACATTTATCCAATGTAAATACAAGAGAAAAAAGCTCTCTCGGGAATTCAATTCCCCACACAGTAACTAAAAGAACATTCTAATATACACCTCTAAATCATCCAAGAAGTCCTTCCAACTACAATAATAGATGAGATGAGGGAAAAATAATCAGAACAAACCCTGAAAGCCAATCAACCAAAAAATCATAACCAAACCCCTCTTCCAACAAAAAGTTTTCAGACATAAACCCATTTTCCTCCTTTCCAAGCCATCTTTAAATAACAAAGTTCTGTCAGTTCAGCATGAGTATTAAAAATATCATAGTACTCTGCTTAAGAGGAGCAATCTGCCACAACGTCCAGGTCCAAAATTCCTCTCCCCTCATATTGTGCTATGCACAGATTGTCTGACTGGTTGCCACCCCCCTATCTCCTACATGTCACTGGTACATCTGTGTGTATGTGTGGATAGTTTGTAAAGCACCTTGGAATCCTTTGAGATGAAAGGTGCTGTATAAATATAATAGCAGCATATTATTATTACAAAATTGTATGACTTTTTCTATTAAATGAGATTGAATTCAGTTACTATGAGAACCATAACCTTGAACTTCATGACTTTTGTGTGTTTTAATTCTGAACCACTGTGCTACTTTCATTAAGCTTTTTGTCATTGTCTCATAGACTCATAGAC